AGATTTGGTCCTGCACGTTCAAGTTTCTGTCACAGGCTGTAGTACCCATTACGAACTCTAAATGCGAAAAAACCACTCCGCTGAATAATGTCGCTAAAATCATTAAAATATCGAATATAGGGAGGTGCCGTTCTATGGGGGCTATACGAAGACCGGGACATCCACAAACAATTTTCTGTTATAGGCTGTAGTATCCATTACAAACTTCAAATACCAAATTTGAAACAATTCCGGTGAATAAAGTAGCTAAAATCATCAAAATGTCGAATATCGGGGGGAACTGTTATATAGGGCCTATACGAAGGCCTGGACCTGCATAAACAATTTTCTGTTACAGGCTGTAGTACCTATTAAGAACTTCAAATACGAAATTTCAAACAATTTCGAAGAATATTGTACCTAAAATCGTCAAAATACCGAATATTGGGAGGAAGACGCGGATCTGCATACGGAATGTTTTGTCATAGCAGTATTACACATTACGAATTTAAAATAGGAAATTTGAAATGACTACGGTGAATAATGTCCCTAAACTCAGGAAAATATCGAATATGGGGGGTACCGTTAAATGTGGGCTAAACGATATGGTGGACCTACAGGGTGAGATAAAAAAATTGCAACAAAGTCAAACACGATAATTGTTAAATTTTTTTTAATTTAATTGATTGAAAGCAAAAAATGTCAGAAATAGCGTCAAATTTTAGAAAAAGTTTAGATTTGTTCGAATTGTTTACCTTTGGCACAAATTATGGCCTTCGAACGGCCAATAAAACTGTCACACGCTGAGCGAATGTTGCTCTTCGGTATTTTGGCCCATTCCCGGCGAAGCACTTGCTTGAGGCGATAGACACTTTGTATTTTTTATTTTTTTTTTGTGCCAACCTTGCTTTCTAAAATTCTCCAGACACAATAGTCCAACGGATTGGTATCCGGAGTTTTGGGGTGGCCATTGTGCGCTGAAAATGAGGTGAGGAACCTAATTTTGTAACCATTCTTGTTGGCGCGTGCTTTGTGCGATGATGCTGAGTTCTGTTGGAATGTCCAAGGTCTGCGGCCAAAATGTTTGCGTGCCCAAGGCTTTAATACATCCTCCAGAATATTTTCGCGATAATATTCAGCATTTATTCTGATGCCACGGTCGATTAATACAAGCGGAGAGCGATTAATACGAGTGGAGAGCGACCATTGGCTGTTATGGCGGCCCAAACAATCACCATGACCGGCGCTTTAGTTCTGGTATGTTTCACATTTTCAGCTAACCTCTTTGGCAAGTAAACACGATCATTTTGTTTGTTTACAAACTGCCGGACAACGAATGATTTCTCATCGGAGAAATCCAAATTCGGCAGTTCACCACTTTCGGCCAAGCGAAGCATCTCTTAGCTCTTTTGAGTCCATTTTCTTTCTGTTGCGGTGTAAGTTCTTGCACTTTTTGAAATTTCAATGGCTTTTCTGCTAATGTTGATGTTTTCTTTCGTCCACTTCCTTGACGTCGGGCTACGCTACCAATATCACGGTAACGAGCGATGGTACGTGACACAAAAGATTTATTCACATTAAAATGCTGGTGTGCTCAAACGACAGCCACTTGCGGTTTTCCTGCCAAATATAAAGAAATCGCACTATCAAGCTTGAATTATCAAGCGAATAACTTTTTTTTCTGGAAAATTCTAACCAAAGTGTTTTTTTACGCTTATAAACAATATAATGAGCTGCCACTGGAATAATTTTAATAGCTGTCGGACGAATGTCTTAGAAATGACCACATTCTGAAGTTGGTTGCGGTTTTTTCATCTCACCCTGTGCATTATATGAAGTAGTCGATATAGCCCAAATATGGCACGTTGTAATATTTATATCAGACTTAGGTCAACTGATTCGACAGTTTAAATAATCATAAGTAAAGGCTAGGGTATACATCTGTCGGCAAAACCGACTGTTAATATTTTACTTGTTTTACATGCTGTTTGCTATTTGTTTATTTCTTGTACGGTGCCTTCAATCACAATACTGTACTTTCACTTTCATTTGCCCGGTCTTCATGTGGGTACTTATGATTTGACCATAGGCTTTATACACATCTGTGTCCTTATTTATTTACTTCTGGCGGTATAAACTTTCAATTCACTGTGCTGTCAAAATGTGTGCTCCTGAAGACTTCACTGCAATCCTTTTTCATCATCACATTCTTCTCTGATGTCAAATACATTTCAGATTGTGTCAAACTGCCACCAAATCCGCCTTTTACTCGTCGCCTGGTGGCAAGCAAACAATCCTGTTTGTAATTATTATTTGATTTAGTTTTGTGAAAAAATGTTAAACGTTTTCAACCGCATTTAAAAGAAAATGCATTGTTCGCATTTGTCAAACAAACGAACAAAAAACGCCTATTTGACCAACACCAATGATGAAGTGGTTCAGACATGACTCTGATCCTGTTTAGATGACAAGTTATTTATTATTTCGATACAACTTTCAACTGCCATCATAATTTAATTGTAAATATAATGACGATGATGATAAAACAAATAAAATGAAAATAATAAAGAAATCAAATTTTTATAAACATTTATGAAAATGGCTGTCATCGCTGCGCATAATGTTATTTAGTTATGCTGCAGAGTAAAATTCCATAGCAAATTGGAAATTTAAAATTAAACAAGTAAAAAAGCTATAAGTTCGACCAGGCCGAACTTTGAATATCCTCCACCATTTGGTAATAATTTGGCAATTTTCAAAAAAATAAAATCTTTTAAAAATTCTGTTAAAATCCTAAAGATATCGAAGGTAGCCGTACATTAGTGTCTATAAGACGACGTGGACCTGCATAGGCAACTTTTGTCACAAGCTATTACAATATTCAAATGCGAAATTTAAAAAAAATCTATTTATAAAATCATCAAAATACCGAATAGAGGGAGGTACCATGGGAGTTATAAAACGTGGACCTGCACAGACAATTTTCTGGCATAGGCTGTAGTATCCATTACGAACTTCAAATACAAAATGTGAAATAATTCCGGTAAATAATGTCGCAAAAATCATCAAAATACCGAATATCGGGAGGTAGCGTTATATCAGGACTATACGAAGACGTGGATCTGAAAAGACAATTTTCTCTCCTCGGCTGTAGTATCAAACTTTAAATACCAATTTTGAAATAATTCCGGGAAATAATGTCGCTAAAATCATCGAAATACCGCAAATCGGGGGTACAAAAGCTTTTTGGTGTGACCTTTCCGAAAAAAAAGTTATTCGTGATGGAATTCATGCGTGATAGTGTGATTTCCATACTTGGCTGGAAACACGCAAGTGGCTATCATTAGAGCACTCCAGCATTTAAATGTGAATAAATCTTTTGTGTCTCATTCTTTCGCTCGTTACTGTGATACTGGTAGTGTAGCCCGACGTCAAGGAAATGGACGGAAGAAAACAGAAACATCAGTAGAAATGGTTCGAAAAGTAAAGAAGCGACTTGATCGAAACCCGCGTCGCAGTGGCCGAAAAATGGCTCGTGAGCTGAACATATCGCAATAGCCATTGAAATTCCAAAAAGTGCAAGAACTTATACCGCAACAGACAGAAAATAGACTCAAAAGAGCTAAAGAGTTGCTTTGCTTGGCCGAAAGTGGTGAACTACCGAATTTGATTTTCTCCGATGAGAAAACATTTGTTCTTCAGTAGTTTGTAAACAAACAAAATGATCGTGTTTACTTGCCAAAGAGGTCCGCTGAAAATGTGCAACTTCGGTTGGCCTCCAAGAGCTGGAACTAAAGCGCCGATGGTCGCTCTCCGCTTATATTCTTATAATCGACCGTGGCATCAGAATAAATTACGAATATTATCGCGAAAATGGTGTGGAGGGTGTATTAAAGCCTTGGGCACGCAAACATTTTTGCCACAGATCTTGGACATTCCAACAGGACTCAGCACGCGCCACCCAAGAATGGTTATAAAATAAGGTTCCTCGCTGCATTTCCAGCGCATAATGGCCGCCAAAATGTCCGGATACCAATCCGTTAGACTATTGTGCCTGGAGTATTTTGGAAATCAAGGTTGGCAATAAAAAATACCAAAGTGTCGATCACCTCAAGCAAACGCTTCACCGGAAATTCGCCAAAATACCGCAGAGCAACATTCGGGCAACCTGTGACGGTTTCATTGGCCGTTTGAAGGCCAAAATTCGTGTCAAAGGTGACCAATTCGAACAAATCTAAACATATTCTAAACTTTGATGCTATTTCCGACATTTTTTTGCTTTCATTCAATAAAATTTAAGAAAAAAATGTAAAAATCATGGCATTTGACTTTGTTGCAGTTTTTTTTTATCTCACCCTGTATATTCTTATTCTGTCATGGAGAATTTCTTTGGTGCTTTCTTACATTGGAATCCTTTTGCAGGACTTCTATACATAAAACATTTTTTTGAAGACTTTCTGGTACACTTTTATGTCGCTCTCTCCTCCAAATTTAATGGACACACCCATTATTGTATTCCAAAAAAAAATTTAAGTGCATCTGATCCATGATATTTTTTACCTGGTAACCGTCTTACTTCCACCAATTATAAGAAATTCGATGGTCCCCTTCAGCTTTATATGCAGCGAACTGTAAGAAAATCCCGTTTAAATGCTAGAAGAGAAAAAGAGCATTTACAACAACAATTAAAATTGTTTGTCATTTTTTCAAGCATAAAATTTGTAACGTCTTTTAAATGCCGTTTTATTGTTACGCCTTTACATCTTCCAGAGGGGGAAAAGTTGTAATGAAGTGACAGATATTAATGGAAATGTAGCATAACGTGAGGCACATAATTAAAGAAATCATAACAAAAGAAAAAATTAATAATTTATTTTTTTTTAGAAAATTAGAAGATTTCTTTTTATATTTTTTATTAATTTGTAGGAACTCCGAAAAGAAAAGTACTTTTTTTATATTTTTTTATAAATTTTGGTTATTTTTAATATTTGTTAAAAATTAAATTTTTTGTATTTTTGCAGGAGGTCCGTCCCAATACCATTGCTGATGTCAAAGTAGATGCTTCTTTTCGTCGAATACCAAAGAATGCCATCTGCTTTCATGTCTGGAAAATCGATGAAGATCGTTTGGAAGCTGAACCCAAAGCCCAGTATGGAACATTTGTGGATGATTGTGCCTATATTATTTATGCCGCTGCAGCGGCTGGGACATACGTCAATCAAGATACCATAGTAAGTATTGGGAAATAAATCGATAAATCCTTTAAAAATCCATGGTTATAGATCAATAGATATCCGTGCATTTTCCATAATTTCTGCCCTTAAAGTTCTTAAAAAAGTTTCTTAAATTTAAAAAAAATCCACGAGCAATATGTCAAAATACTTGAACAAATATCTTTTTCTTAAAATATTTTTTTCAGATCAGCAACAATTTTGTTAGAATAACTTAAAAACAACGATTTATGTCCAAAAACTCCTTGAAATTTTTTCTTTAAATTTTCATAAAATCTTAAAAAAAAAGCTTTTAGAAAGGTTATTTTCGAAATATTCTTCAAACCCCCTAGACAATGTTTCTTAGAAAATCCACACCTTATAATTATTATTAAAACAATTTACGTTTTATGTTTCAAAAGTCGTTGCAATATATTTTGAAAACCCCCTAAAAATAGTTGTTAAAAAATACTTTTAAAATCCTTGAACAATATTCTTGAATCACTTAAATTCATTAAAGAAATATTCCTTCCAAATAAAATCAAATTATGACCTAAAAACCCTTTAAAAATATTAATAAAATATAAAAATCACCGATTTTGAACTAAAAGTAATATTATTAAAAATTTCTAAACAAGAAACATTTAAAATATTAAAAAAGATCCTTGAAGCTTTAAGTCGATTACTTTTCTATAAGACCCTTCAAATATTCTTTAAAATTACTACAATTATTCGGCAGTGTCGAACATTTATTATCCTCCAGTTGGAAGGAAATGCAACTAAAATTTTAAAAATTCGGAATTTTCGTTTGTTACAGTTATCTGAGGCTATAAGAAAACTTGGACCTCAATGGAGGTGGTATCCATTACAAACTCCAAATACCAAATTTAATTCCGATGAAAAATCACTCTGATGTATGTGGACTATATCAAAAGTTCGACCTATATAGACAATTCTATGCGAGGACAGTTCCTTCATACTTGTTTCACAAACTTTTAATTTTCGGTTTAAAATTGTGACTAAATTAACCAAATCTGGCAGCACAGTTGTATGGAAATTATATCAAAACCTGGGTCTATATGGCCCATTTTCAATACTTAAAATTAATGTTCTTAAGTCCTTAAGAAATATTTTTTTAAATAGATCTTAAAAATTATTCTATAAAAAATGTCGACTGTTGCCCTAAAAATTCTTAAAAATATTATTTAATTAGTCATTAAAAACATCGCATAAAAATCCTCAAAAATTGTTCTATTAAAATCGATAATTGTCCTTTCAAAATGCTATTAAAAATGTCCTTAAAATATATATAATTATTAAAAATATATTTAATGATATATTTGAAATTATTCTCTAAAATCATCATTACCCTTAAAAATTCTGAATAAAATATTCTCTAAAAGTGTCTTTAAGAAATACACAATTGCTGACCTAAAAGTCCTTAAAAATTATTTTTTAAAAAATCCACGATCTTTGACCCAAAAGTGGTTAAAAATACATGATTATTGCTCTAAAAGTCTTTAAAAGATATTCTTTAGAAAATTCCTTTTAATTTTTCTTTAAAAAATCACGATCGCGAAAAATCACGAATCAAAAATATTTTTAAAAATTCCAGATAATTGAATAAAAAGTGCTTCGATTTTTTTTCTTTTAAAAAATCCTGGATTGTTGCCCCAAAAGTTCTTAAAAAGGCTCTTTTAAATATTCCTTAAAAAACTATTATTATGATTATATTTAAAAAGTCCTTGTCATTACCTTAAAATTTAAAAAAAAAATGTTATCTAAAAGTCCTTTAAATAGTCTTAATAAAATCCACGATTGTTTCCTCTTAAAAAAATGTTCTTTAAAAATCCTCCAATATTTCCCAAAATATCCTAAAATATATATTTCCCAAAATATCCTAAAAATAAAATTGGACTCTTAAAAAATCCAGGAGTTCTACACCAAAAGTCCTTAAAAAGGTTCTTTCAAATATTCTTAAAAAAGTCCTTAAAAGTATTTTTAAAAATTCCTGGATTATTGCCTTAAAAAAATCATGACCATTACCTTAAACTTTCTTGAAAAATGCCCTTTAAAAGTCCTCTAAATAGTTTTTTGTTGTTCCAAAATTGTCAGGCTTAATCCCATTATTATTGTTATTATAAAAAAAACGTTTGTTAATTAGTGGAGAACGATGGATACCTAGGTTTCGGAAAGAGCCTAGATATTCCCTGCATAAGTTTCTAAAAAATTAAAAAAATCTAAGATTTTAGGTCTGATGATTCCCAAAGGCTACTCTTGACAAACCCTACTGTTATAAACCACGGGTTATTTCGAAATACTCCCTAAGATCTATTGTCAAAAAATTCCCAATTTAATTTTTTATTTTATTTGTTTATTTAATTAATTTATATATTATTTTTTTTTTTTTTTTGTTTCATTCCAGACACGAGAAGTGAAACCTTCTGTTAACTTAGAACGTTTTATTCACTTTTGGCTGGGCGAAAATGTTTCGGAGCAAAAACGTTCCAATGTTGCACATAAAATACAAGAGCTGGACTCTTATTTCAATAATGTGGCGGTGGAATATCGTGAAACACAGGGCAATGAAAGTGCCCGATTTTTATCGTATTTCAAAAAGGGAATAACGTGAGTAAACAAATCGATTCATTTTCATTTCAAAAATTATTCAAATTAAATCCATTTCCCTTAACAGCATCAAATGCGGCCAACACTTGAACTCCGCCGAACAGAATCGTTTGTATCAGGTCTATGGACGCAAATGGTTGCGTTGCATTGAAATGCCAACCATATCGTGGGAACATTTCGGAGCCGATTTTGTAATGCTATTGGCAACGGCCAATCATTTATATGTTTGGATAGGTCGCTCCTCGAGTAATGTGGAGCGACGCAATGCCATTGAATTGGCTAACAAATGGCAAAAGGATAACACCAAACTAACCATTGTCGATGATGGCTATGAACAATCAATGCCGGAGAAAAGGAAAAATGAATGGAATACATTTTTGCCATTGTCACAGAGGTCGGTGTGTCAGAACTCTCCCATTCCGGAGAAACCAATTTGTAATAAATTGAAAATCTACAAATGTTGTTATCGCAATAATCGCCTGCATCTGGACCAATTGGATGTGGTTATACCGACACGAGAAGATTTCAGTGATTCCAGTACGGCATATGTTTTGGATGGCTTTGCCCAGGGTATATGGTTGTGGGTGGGCAGCCAGGCGTCGCAACAGGATAAAACCAATGCCATGGGTAATGGCAGGGCGTTTGTCAAGAAGGTAGGTCGAATGAAACACTGGGATTGCTTTCAAGATAAATAATGTGTTTTTCTTTTAGAAAAAATATCCCTATAGTACTCCAGTTATACGTGTGGTGGAAGGCCACGAACCGGCTGAGTTTATACGCCTATTTCCCTCTTGGCATGGTGACTGCAATGAGTTACAAATGAAACCATCTTCCACAATTTTGGGTAAATTCGACTCGATGACATTGTGTCAAAGACCCAAAATGGCTGCCGAAACCCAATTGATTGATGATGGCTCAGGAGAACGTAAAATCTTTCGCATCACCAAGGATCAGGTCATCGAAATGCCAACAACAAAGGCGGTTTATTTTACCACCCTGAATTCATATGTCGTCCAGTATACCGTGGTGGTGAGTAACGGACAATAATGTATATAAAAGAGCCTCTGATAATATTCGAGAAAATATTTTATAAAAATCCAGGTAGTCCTGGTAGTTCTTGAGAAAGTTGTGCCTCTGAAAATCATTGGGAAAATATTAAAAAAAAAAAACACTTTTGTAACTCTGATAATCCTTGACTATTTTTCTCAAAAAAGTTCAAGATTGTAGTTCGGTTAGTCCTTAAAAAAATGTTCTAATAATTTTTTGGTAGCTTTGTAGTCTCTCAAAAAAATATAGTCTCTGTCTCTCTGCTAGTCTATAAAAAATACGAAATATATTGTTTTTTAAAATCTACGATTTCTAATCTGATTTTCCCTAAAATATTATTTCAAAAATATCAACATTTTTTGTCTAAACATATTCCTAAAAATTCCTCGATTTTAGGTCTAATTGACCCTCGACCCCCTTTTTAAAATTCATTTTTAATTCTTCATCCCTTTCCAGAGCTGGTCCATGAATCCGAATGACAGTGAAAGTGTTGGCATCAAACAAATCATCTATCAATGGAACGGATCTGAAGCCTCCACTGAGATTACAAATAAAGCTGAAAACTTTGCCAAAAACCTGTTCGATACAGCAAATCAGAAAACCATGTTTGTGCAGATGAGTGAATACGATGAGACTCCACACTTCCTACAAATGTTCGAGGGCAAGCTAATCATACTGCTCAGCGAACGGAGTCTACCACACAACAATAACAACAACAATAATAATCACATAATTTCCAATGGTCTAAATGGTCATGATTCGGAAAGTTTGGTCCTCAAAGTATTTGGTGACAGTACCTACAATGCCAAAGCCGTTGAAGTTTTCCCCCTATCATCAATGTCCGCCAAAGAATGTTTTGTTGTCAAGTCGCAACATGTTTGGGTATGGTGTGGCCAATCGTCCACGGGGGATGCCCGAGAGTTGGCCAAAAATATCGGTGCTTTATTGGGTGAAAGTTCCTTGGTGCTGGAGGGCAAAGAACCCAAAGAATTTTGGCGCTCGGTAACAAATCTCATGAACCAAAGTCTCATAATGAACGGTGTAAATCATTCGCCCAACACCAGCAGTAACGGCAGTTCCAGTATTGGTACTGCTTCACCCATCAACTCGAATGGCAGTAGCTGTGGCACAACACTACAATATTTAGGCTCATGTTCACCGCCCAGTGTGAAACCCCGTTTCCAGGCCCAACTCTTTGCCGTTTGGAATTTACGCAATAAATTCTTTTCCGAAGAGATATTGGGTTATGATCAAACGGATCTTTCGCCGGAATGTATGTATGTCTTGGATGCGGGAATTATTACATATGTGTGGTTGGGAAAATATGTTAGCTCCCATGAGAAGGTGAAGTATATGAATATGGCCCAAAACTATTTGGAAACGGTGCCAATTGCCCGAAGACCAACCACCGCAATTGGTGTGATACATCAAAATGATGAGCCGAATGTGTTCAAGGGGTTCTTTAACTCGTGGAATACCGGCATGTGGAATGTAAGTAATGAGGGGTTTCAAAAAGGGATAAAATAACTAATTAATTTTTTTTTTAAATCGTTACAGAATTACATCAACTATGAACAGAAACGCCAAATGGTCTCATCAGGCCAATCAGTAATAACAAATGGCACTGGAAATGGTGTTGCCCTGCCAGTAAATGGTGTGAATGGCAAACTTCCCCCTTCGATTTTGAATAACCAAAAAGATTTCGATCGCCATCAAAAGTATCCAATTGTAATGCTGCAACAGGAAATCGATTTGCTGCCCGAAGAAGTAAATCCCTTGAAGAGGGAGGTGAGTTAAGATATTTTGGGATGAGTTTTAATTCCGGGGTTGAATAAATAACCCTATGATATTATTAAAAACCAGTAAAGAAAGTATTAAAGTCGGGCGGAGCCGACTTTATGATGATTTGTGATTATTAAATCATACCAAACGAACTGTTATATGAGAGGAATATCCTCCTCTGAATTGATTTCTACTAAAATTTGCCGAGGGATAAATGTATATATGGGAGCTATACCCAACTATACCCAATTCTGAGCTGTATTTGATAGATTTCCCCGTATATCGTAACGACGGAGTGCATATTGCGGCTGTGCAGGACAAATTCAACAAATCGGATGAATAATATATATAAAATAATAAATATATATATATATATATAAGTGCCAAATTCCATCCTATTGGGGCTAATATTACACGTTTTATGCACAATAATAGGCAAATCGGACGAAGATATATATGGGAGCTATATTAAAATCTGAACGGATCTAGATAAAATTTAACAAAGGTATTTCTGAGTTGTATTTGATATATTTCCCCAAATGTCGTTGTTACAGACTGCATATTACGGCTGCGGAGGATAAAAATAACACATCGGATGAACAATATATATGGGAGCTATAGCTACATCTGAACCGATTTCGATAAAATTTGGCATACTTATTTTCAGGCATAACTTGGTTGTACGTACAAAAATCTATACTATTTGGGCTGATATTACACGTTTGGTGCACAATAAAAAACTAATCGGACGAAGATATATATAGGAGCTATAATTAATTTTTGACCGATTATCTCCAATTTCAATAGGGTTCATCATTGGGTCAAACAAAAGACTTGTGCAAAATTTCATGGACAGACGGACGGACGGACATGCATAAATCGACTCAGAATGTGATTCTATGCAGATCATCAAGAGGAATTATGGGTTTATCTCGTTTCCTTTTGCTGTTACAAACAAATGCACAAAGACATTATAACCTAACCATCTTTTGGTGTAGCTCTGAGTAAATTTTTATTAGTCCTACAAATAACTCACCTTTTCGGTGTTTACAATATTTCAAGAAGCATTACCTAAAAATTGGGGCTTTGACGAGGACTTTGATAACCATAGGAAAAAATATATATTTTTTTTTAATATATCGAAAACATTTTACATTTGTGGGTTTGATAGTCCTTCTTAAACATCTATTTAAAACATACATAATTCTTCAATTGGCTTATAAGCAAGATTTGAAACTTTGATAGATTTTCAAAAATATACACATATAGAATTGGTGGTCCTAAATAAAATACACGTTTGTGACTTAAAAAGTTCTTACAACAAATATTCCAAAAAAATCCATATTTGTAGGATTGGTTCTTAAAACCCACGTTCGCAACTTTTATAGTTCTTTTGATTGATCCACAATTATGACCTTGAGTCCTTCGAATAAAAGAGTCTTAAAATGCATACTTGTGGTTTTGATAGTCCTTCAGAAAATATTTTTTGTTAATCCTTTGAAATTACTCCAAAAACAAATCCAACATAAAAAACTTTTCAGTCTTTCGAAAAACATTTTTTAAAGTTAGGTTTTTTAGTATTTGAAAACACATTTTTACAAATTCTTCGACTGCATCTAATAATTTTTTATATTTTCTTTCAATATTTTTATTTATTTGTACATTTATCCATATCTTGTTTATCTTCCAGGTCCACTTAACCCACGACGACTTCGTATCCCTTTTCAATATGTCCTTCTATGAGTTTGATGAATTGCCCGCTTGGAAACAACAGGAATTGAAAAAGAAACATAAACTATTTTAAAAGCAAAATTTCCATCTTTCTTTTATGTTTGAAAAATAATTATCAACAATTTTATAGAATTTATAATTTATTTTTTAAACATCTTTACATATTTTCTGCAAATAATTTCTACAATAGAGAAAAAAATTATAAATTCCATTAAAATTTCTAATATTTCTGTAATATAAAACAACAACAAGAAATCTGTTATTTTTTTTCTTATTTCTAATATTAAATAAAATTATATAAAAATACAACATTTATATATATATTAATAACAAATATATAACATATAACATATAAATATATGTTATATAATACATACAATATTATTATATTTTGAATAAATATATTTTTAATGAATTAAATTAACATTTGTATTTTTTAAAATTAATTTTTAATGTAAATAAGTATTTTGGAGAGGAAAGAGGAAGGGCCATATAGAATTAGGTCTTTATAATTTCAACTTCATCCGAATCAGGTTCATCGCCAGAAGCTAGAATGTAAACAAAACGTTTTATTGAAATTAAATTAATTTTCTAACTAGAATGAAAAGTCTTAAGATGTAATTTGGAATATTATAGTTGTAAACAGTAACATTTTATTTGTAATTTGAGTTCAATTTTAAATGTTTGAAATTACATGTGGAAAATAATGTATTACACTAAACCAAGAATTAATCAGCCCAATCATTAATACCCGCACGGAAACGGAAAACATTTTCGTCGAGAGATAATTCCTCAAATTCATTCGTCCGTCTGTCCATGTTAATTTGTAATCATCAGGTCGCAATTATGGCCCGATCCTCACGAAATTGAAAATGTCGTTGGGGCTAGGGTCAGAATAGAACCCTATTGTGTTTGAAGATGATTGCAAAATATTTAGGTGTTGAAATGGATTTCGTGATTTAGCAGTTGCTCTATAGGCCACAATTATGAACCAATCTACACGGAAAATTTCCTTGGAGTTGGAGTTTAGGACTGGTCAGAAGCCTACTAATTTTGGCGGCCATCAGACAATATTTAGCGGGTAAAATATACCCAAATTTTTATGTAAGAAAATATGAAAATTTCCACTAAACCGCGAATATTTTTAACCCCAGTCAAATTACAAATACATTGAAAGGTCACTCCTGACCATTAAAGTGATGCTGATAGCAAAGAAATACATAGCAAAATAGGAACAATATATATGTAAAAGAAATATATCTTATTTATTCTGTTTATAAGTCAAGAACCGCTGGGCCGATTTTCACAATTCCCCTTAATTCGGAATGGTTTCTGGCCAGAAAAGGATAAAATCTAAGAAAATCGCGGAAAAAATACCAATAAATGAGAGAATATCTTTTGATTCATTTTTTCAATTGTTGTCATATTTTTTATCGCTGCTATTTTTTTCAATTTGGCTTACAATTTTGAATAGAAAATTTTCTAAATTTTTACGCTTTGAGGGTATTATATGCATGTTGCAATTATCGTCAGACCCTCACGAAATTGAATGGGGTAGCTTTAGGGCCAGAATTAAAGTCTATTGTTTTTAAGATGTATATTTAGGGGTTTATGGACTAAAAAATTAAATTTATCTAAGTTTGTAGTCTCTCTATAGACCACAATTTAAAACTAATCGACATGGAATTTAGCATCAGAAGAGAGTTAAAGACAGGGAAGAAGTCTATCATTTTGGATGACTATTGGATTATAACTTTCGTGTGAAATTGCTTTGAATACAGCACGACGGAGAGCGTAAATATCGGCCAAATTCTGCTAGTCAAAAAATTAAGGGTAACATCTGGACAGGGCTCTTTGACATTATTTCAAAAACGAAATCTTCCAAAATTTATTTGGATATAAGGAGACTTCGAACATATTGTAGTGTTGCAGGGTATCACATGGTCGGCCCCGCACTTTTATTGCCTTTGCTTACTTTTTTAAAATATGGTTAAAAACTCCCTTTAAACGGGATCATAGAAAGTCAAACTATTCCATAAAATTATTTGTCATTAAATTCTGCAAGGAGAGGTCAAGGGTCGAAATTTTACCTAAGTACCAGGAATTCATATATAGATTAAAAACAACTTTAAATAATATATACATTAAAACACCAATAATTCAAATCAGGGGGAGTTTTTATATGAGAGCTGTACCAGAAACTGTACCTATTAATATTATTTTTTTTTTTTAAAAACGCTCCTACATAATAGGATCTCAAAATGTCAACATTTAGCGAAATTTGAAAAAAGTGCTAAATTTTTTATGTCACTTTAATGGGGAAAATTTGACCAAAAAATTACGGAATATAAAAATTTGATTATGAATATTTTCGTCTTTGACGCCAACCTTCCAAAAGAATGTTTTTTTAGAGATTTTTGCAAAAATCCACACGGCTAAATGTTTTCAATATATATAAATTCCTGGGGTTTAGGTAAGAATTAGATCCTTGATGTTTTCTAGGACTTATAAAAAGTAAAATATGTTAACCTACTATGATCCCGTTTGTTGACTTTGCTTAAGGGTTAAAATTTTCTACCAAAATAGTCCTCGTATTTTATATAAATTCGAAAAATTCCAAAATTGTGGAATTTGGACGTTGTAAAAAATTTTAATTATCAACAAACATTTACATTTTTGTATTATTCGTTTCTATTTAAAAAAAAACACATTTTAGAAAAAGAAAAATCAAATTTGGGAGTGAAAAAGTCCTTTTCAAAAAATGTGATTTATGATTCACGTTAGTTCTAATATCCCCAATATTGATTTCATTACACAATTGGTATAAAATATTACATAGCTATAAAATCGATAATACTTACTTGCCGATCCACCTGATGCAATACCCATAAAAATTCGTGAAAAAAGTTGTAAAAAATTTAATAACATTTCAATGATTTGCTCCATTACCAACTGTCTGTAGAAATGATGGTAAACAAATGTCGATTTTCATTAGAATCATTCAAGCGTTAACGGGCTGGAAAATTCGATGCGTATTCGGTTTGATTCAACTACGATTCTTCGGAATCATCGCCGTCATCGCCACCACCTACAGAAAAAGGAAAGATTTTAAATTCGAAAAGTAAAAAATCCCGCTCGAAGTAATTTGATTTAAATGTTATAATCTTTTTACGTGTATATCACGTTTGAAATGGTGTTTAAACAGATTATAAGATTAAAACGTAAACCGATTATAACATTTAAGGAATCCTATCGAATTTTTGAGTCAATACGCAATTTTTAATAAATTTTACTTCTTCATTTTATGACTTATTTCTATTTTTCCTAACTAACTCACCTCCAAATGGCAATAGACTCATAATCATATCGAATAAACCCTGTAACAATTCGAAAAACATTTTTAACTGCTCTTTTTTCTTTTTACTCGTCTTCTGTTATTTTTTTAGAACCGTTGCTTTTGAAAACTTTTAATAGACTGAATGGAACATCATTTCTACACACCTGTTGCATTCGATATAAACAATTTAAATTTGGGAAAAATATTAATCGCTTTTTAAAATGCGTATGGAATTTAAATAATTAGGGTCACTTACATATCTGCGCAGACAATCAGATCATTTCCGTTGGCATTTTTTACGCTGCACAAACAACCACCAAAATAACTTTTTAAACTATTAGACAAATTAAACGTAGAAACAGCTTTAATAGTTGGCTAGATCGATTCATAAATTTGACTTTACGCGTTTATAATCGTGGATTTTTAAAGAATTTTTCGAAGGGTCTACTAGCTTTAATTGTGGATTTTTAAAGAATTTTACGAAGAGTCTACTAGCTTTAATTGTGGATTTTTAAAGAATGTTTTTGAGGGACCATTTGAGCTTCATCGTGGATTTATAAAGAATATGTTTTGAAGAAAAATCTTGATTTTGTATATATATATTTTGAGGGGCCATCTGAGCTTAAATCCTGGTTTTGTGGAGAATAGTTTCTGAGGAACATGGATTTATAAAGAATATATTTTTTGAGGAACCATCTGAGCTTTGATCGTGGAATTGAAAAGATTATTTTTTGAGGGACCATCTGAGCCTTGATCGTGGAATTGAAAAAAATATTTTTTTGAGGAATCATCTGACCTTTAATCGTGGATTTTTAAAGAATATTTTTTGAGGGACCATCCGAGCTTTGATAGTGGAATTGAAAAGTATTTTTTTTTTTTGAGGAATCCACTTAACTTTTAATTGTGGATTTTGAAAGAATATTTTTTGAGGAACCATCACTTATTTTTGTTCTTCAAAAAATCGCAGACTTTTTTAGAAAGTTCTTTGAGGAATTATCGGAGCTGTAATCGTGAACTTTAAAGCAATTTTTAAGAGGCCACATGGGTTTAATTTTTGCATTTTTTGAGAAACCACCTCAGCTTTAATCATGGATATTCAAAGAATATATTTTGAGATTCAATCGGAGATTTTTGTAAATATTTTTGAAGATCAATCAGAGCTAAAATCGTTTTTTTAGAAGATTTTTATACCCTCAGCCATATGGCTAGAGAGTATCATTTGATACGGCCAAAACTTGCCTAATCGAAATAACGGTCGTTTCAGGACATTTGGAGTTGATCTTACGAAGTCAGTCCGTCCGCCCGTCCTCTGTCTGTCTGGCTGGCTGGTGGGCACGATAATTCTCGAAGGGAGTAATCGATTTGGTCAAAACTCGGTACATCGTAATATTATTATGAAACTTAGATCGAGTTTGGAGATTGGCCATATCGGTTCACTCCTTCTGCTGCCTCCACCTCAAAAAGTCGACATTTTCAAAGAAAATATTTTGCTCCAACTTTGCAAATCCTAATATTTGCATCAGTTCTAGGTCAGGTGCGAAAATGGACAATATCGGTCCACTTCATCAGTACCTCCCCCACAAAGGTTCAAAATTGGGAATAATTATAAATTTTATAAAATGCGAAATAAGAGTCCGGTTGTCTTCAAGTTACAAATATCTAATTTTTTTTATTAACCCAAGGTCTAGTGTGAAGATGGAATATATCGGTCCACTGCTTCTGGTACCTCCCCCACAAAGGTTCTAAACTTTGAATATCAGTGAAGCTCATAAGATGAGAAATTAACATCCGATTCCGTTCAGACTTGGCACATCTCAATATTTCTATCTACACATGATCTGTTATAAAGATGGTAGAGATCGAAACATTCCTTCTGGTACCTTCCCCACAAAGAGTCAAAGTTTCGAATAACTAAAACGATTATTAAATCCGAATTAAGCATCCGGTTCTCTTCACATTGCACACATCCCATTACTTCCACTAACACAAGACCTGCTGTGAAGATTGGATAAATCGTTCCACTCCTTCTGGTACTTCCCCCACAGAGGTCAACATTTTGAATATCCATGAAGCTCCTAAAACGCGAAATTAACATTCGATTCCATTCAGATTTGACAAATCTCAATATTTTTATCAACACAAGATCTGTTATAAAGATGGGAGAGATCGGACCATTTCTTCTGGTAACTGCCCCCCACATAGGTTCAAATTTTTGAAAAACAAAACGCTCATAAATCGCGGACTAAGCTTCCAACTGTCTTCACACATCCAAATATTTTTACTGAAGCCTAATCTGTTGTAAAGTTAATATATATCTGTCAAAACGTTCTGGTACCTCAACCACAAAGGGTCACAATTTCCAATACTTATATCTGTCATAACTTGCGGCGATTCTCTACAACTCGTTGTATCTAAATATTTCCCTTAGCCAGAAATCTGATATGAATATGTAATTAATCGGAATTTATTGTTTCGTATAAAATTGGATAGAAATGTTAGATTTTCTGGTAATTTTGTATGAAGTATGAAAACGGAAAACTTCGGTAAGCTATATCTGTTACCTCTCGCATATTTCCACATTTTCCAAAAATTTTGCACATATCTCATATAAAGTACAGGAAGTAGTCGATATAGTCCGAATCTGTCACGTTGTAATATTTATATAAGTCTTAGGTCAGATACGAATTGATGCGAATATTGGCCAACTGCTTCGGAATCTCCCCCATAAAGGGTAAAGAGTTTGAATAATCAAAATTCAAGGCTGGAGGTATGCATCTGTCGACAAAACCGACTGATACTATTTGACTTGTTTTAGAATAAGTTTAATTGGTTTCCAAAACAAAAATATACTCTTTAGTTCATCCCACCTATCCTCCACCACTTTGAACTAACAAATTTTGTCGTATTTTTTTTTTGATGTTTTTGTTTTTTTATTATAAATCACTTCGATGTGATTACAATTACTTAAAGACTACTGATTAAAAATTAACAAATTTTATGTCTTCATTGTTTTATGTAGTTTTCCAAATGGTAATAGATTTTAAACTTCTTTTTTTGACAACAACGAACTACATAGAACTTTTAACTTTTTCTGAGTGTAAACTAGCAGATAGGTAGTATATACTTGTTAATAGTTATTTTGTTTTAATAATAATAAATAATATAATTTTGAAAAAAATAAAATTATATGCGTGTATGAGTGTGTGTTGTACGAAAAAATGATGTGAATCTTCTATCCATCTCCACTTTTTAAAAACATTGTGCTGGGAGTGCGGTTTGGTACGGTCACATCACTTTCCACAACATAAAAAAAACATAAGAATCAACCTAAGATCAACTAAGGTCGATGTTGCAGATGCGTGTTCTTCTTGTTGTTGTTTGGAATTGTTGCATGAGATAACAATGATGTGTTGTTTTTGTTTTCTGCAGATGTTGTACTAACTACTCATAAGCAACGTTGCTGGATTTATTGGGGTTTTCTGAAAGATTTGCCAGCGAATTTGGCAGCAGCTCCCAATTCTTCTTCAATGCGGAGAATTTGATTGTACTTGGCCAAACGTTCAGAGCGGCATGGAGCACCGGTCTTAATTTGACCAGTGGACAAACCAACAACCAAATCGGCAATGAAGGAATCCTCAGTTTCGCCGGAACGATGGGAGACCATGGTGCCCCAGCCGTTTTGTTTGGCCAACAAATGGGCCTTGATGGACTCGGTGACGGTACCGATTTGATTGACCTTCAACAACAAGCAGTTGCAAGCCTTCTTTTCAACGGCAGTCTGGATACGCTTGGGGTTGGTGACAGTCAAGTCATCACCCACAATTTGGATGGTGGTGTTGGCGGTGATGTTGCTCCAGGCATCCCAGTGATCTTGATCGAAGGGATCTTCAATGGAGACAATGGGGAATTCCTTGATGAATTCTTGGTACAAATCGGTCAACTTGGCAGGGGGAAGCCATTGGGCCTTGTCGCTGTTGGGGTTCTTGAAGTCCAAATCGTAAACGCCATCCTTGAAGAATTCAGAGGCGGCAACATCCATGCCGATTTCAACCTTGCCGGTGTAACCGCCCAAGGCAATGGCATCGTTGATGAGGTTCAAGGCTTCCTTGTTGGATTGAATGTTGGGAGCGAAACCACCTTCATCACCGACAGCGGTGGCATCCAAACCGAACTTGTCCTTGATGACCTTCTTCAAGTGGTGATAGACTTCAGAGCCGATTTTCATAGCATCAGTGAAGCTGGCAGCACCAGTGGGCAAAATCATGAATTCTTGCATGGCCAATTTGTTGCCAGCGTGGCTACCGCCGTTGATGACATTGAAGGCAGGAACGGGCAAAATGATATCCTTGTTGCCAGCCAAATCGGCAATGTGTTTGTACAAGGGAACACCCTTCTTGGCGGCACCAGCCTTGCAGACAGCCAAAGAGATACCCAAAATGGCGTTGGCACCGAACTTCGACTTGTTCTCAGTACCGTCCAATTTCAACATGAAGTTATCGATGGCTTCTTGGTCGGTGACTTCCAAGTTGGCCTTGATGAGTTCGGGGCCCAAGGTGTTGTTGACATGGCCAACGGCTTGCAAAACACTCTTGCCATGGTAGTTCTTCTTGTCATTGTCACGCAATTCCAAGGCTTCGTGGACACCAGTGGAGGCACCGGATGGCACGGCAGCACGGAAAAGACCCAATTCGGTGGTCAAATCGACCTCAACGGTGGGGTTACCGCGAGAATCGAAGATTTGACGGGCATGAATGGTCTTGATAGGCATGGTGTATCTGAAAAAAGAGAAAAAAATTCAAGAAATTAATGGAAATGTTTGGATTCAATTTGGTGTTGTTTTATTATTATTGTCTGGATGATAAGCAAGTGGACTCTTGCCCTTTTAAATTAAAAAAAAAAACAAATATTAAAACTTTTCTTGTAGTTAGGGGGCCTGTCAAAAAAAAAAAAAAAAAAAACTTGATAAAATTTATTACGATTATATAAACTCAACTGTTACGTTTGCTGTGAAAATAATGAATGAATGAAGTGGAAGAAACCCCTTGGTAGCTATTGTCGGTCTGTCTGTGTGTATGTATTTAGGGGGGCATGTTAGGCTCAATTTTTAACTGCGCACTGCCGGGTTTTCCTGTCTCTCTATGCCTGCCTCCCTCTCAATTGTGGGTGAATAGAAGCCTTTTCATCTCCTGTATACACACCATTCGTCCTTTGAATGTCATAGGCTTCATAAAATTTCAAGGAAGTGTGTCGATAGATGACGTTGTTTGAATATTGACTGGACAATGGTAACAAGTGATAAGTATGGGAATCTTAGGAAGTTTTTAAGGGCTGAAAAAGCTATTTACGGAATATTTCACTATGTAACTCAAGGAACTTAAGTATTTGTATAGAAATTTTCGGTAACTGGAGCCTATTTTTCGCAAATACTGACCTTTAGAATAATTCTTGGAAAACATTCGGCTAAACTATTGATTAAAACCCAAAATATGTCAAAATCAAAGATTGGAAGAAACGTACATTGCAGGGAGCGCTTTAAAAATTAACCAGTTTTGCTATGGAATAAATGATAGAAAATGTTGGATCATATTTTTAAAAAGATCGAGGCATTTCATTCATTTAATCTAACTAATTTTAAAAATGGGGAAAATTGTTGCTTTAATTTAAAAAAAAGTCTGACAGGAAGCGGACAAAGCTTCAGGGCTCTATTGCTGTAGTTTTACGAAGATGTTCTACCTCCTTATAGAAATCTGCCTATTTGTTTTGGAACGTTTTCAACGAAAATCTCAAATTTTCAAGACAATCATAAGAAATAAAAGAAATGAATTGAGTTTCGGATGTAGCCCAAAACTCATACACCGTAATACCACCCCAAACAAAGGTCTAAGGGTGAAAATACATAAAGCGCATATTTGGGTGGCTTAAGTCATTAGCTTGCTTCTTCGTAGATGAACAAAGGAGTTTTAGGTTGACTTAGTTCAATTTTTCCCTAGGCTCCTTTGTTAATTTCCGAAGAAGCCAGCCAAATAAGTGCTATATGTACTCCGACCTTAAGTTGTTAACAGTAACTAATAACATTTGAAATAAATATACGATTTTGACAAAGCTTTTCACATCTGAATATTTTTTGAAATCCTCCTAGCACCCTTCTTCTTAAAATATGTTCACATCGGCATTTGACAGATGTATACCCGACAGATGTATACCCCCAGCCTTGAGTTATGATTATTTAAACTGTGGGCCCCTTATGGAGGAGGTTCCGAAGCATTTGGCCAATATTGACCAATTCGTATCTGATCTAAGACTGATATAAATATTACAACCTGTCAGATTTGGACTATATCGACTACTTCCTACATTTTATTTGAGATATGTGCAAATTTTTGGAAAATGTGGAAATATGCGTGAGGTAACAGATATAGCGGACCGAAGTATTTCATTTTCATACTTCATCTAATACAGATGAAAAAATATTGGTATGTGCAAAGTTTGAAGGAAATCGAATATTTATATCCAATTTTATGAAATCACAAGATATGATAGATATAAGTATTGGAAATTGTGACCCTTTGTGGGTGAGGTACAAGCAGGGGTTGGCACATATATATCATCTTCACAGGAGATCTTGCATTAGCAAAAATATTTGGATGTGTGAAATTTGAAAAGAGTTGGATGCCTTTTTCGCCTTCTTTGAGCGTTTTGTTTTTCAAAAACCTTGTGGTAAAGGTACCAAAAGAAATGGTCCGATCTCTACCCTCTTTATAGCAGTAGATCTTGTGTTTATGGAAATATTGGGATGTGACAAGTCTGAATGGAATCGGGTGTTAATTTCGAGTTTTATAAACTTTATCAATATTCGAAATTTTGTGAAGAGTTACCAGAATGTGAGGAGTTTCCGAACCCGATCTGAATTTGGCAATAAAATTACGATGTACCAAGTTTGGATCAAATCGGAAACTCCCTTCGAAAGTTATCGTGCGCATGAGCCAGCAGACAGACGGACGGACATAGCTAGATCGACTCTAAATGTCCTGAAACGGATTTGGTCCGAAGATAGGTCTAAAACCTTTATTTCGTTGAGACACATATCAAATGATATATACCCTGTCTAGCCATATGGCCAAGGGTATAAAACATATATTAAGAAACATAAGCAATTACTTCATAAAGTCAAAACAACATACGATTGTGAACAACGTTAGTCTGAACATGACATTATTATAAAGATAAAACCGGAAACATCACTTCTTTGCGATCAATTGAGTTCAATTAGATGAGACTTTCAGTTATTATACCATTTAAATTGTATAATTAAACCTAAACATTTACATATTTCCTTTGTTTAAATATAAAATAGGGTACACAAACATCATTGTTTGAATACATGTGTTCAAGCTACTATTTCTACCATAATGTGAACCTAGCACAAGAATAAAAATTGTTTTCATTTGTCAACAAAAAGAATCCCAAACAATGACCCCCTCAAAATCTGGCAACGCTCCAACTTTGTTACTTTTGCCAATTTGCTTTCGATTGTGATGCAATTTCTTCTTCTTCCCACCGGAATGCAACGCAACAGAATGGGAATGTGCACAAGAAAAACACGAAATGAAATGATCCCCCACTGACATGCAAACATGAGGCGAAGTAATAAAAAGTGGAGCACTATCTCTAATTGGAATTTGAAAAGATCAAACAAGAATTACTTTAAATAATTTCGGTAAGTTTCCAGAAGAAACAATACAAATTAGTCATATTTTACCAGATGTAGCTTTCAACTATTCCCAATTTACTAAGGGGGAATAAAGTATGTGTATATATGTGTGCGCTTGCAAAAAATATACGTGTAGATACTAATGTGTTAGTCTACCGTATTGGATCAAATGAATGACCTCTATCGCTTAGCTAAAGGTCATATGGATAAGCGGTTTAGAAAACCAACTTTTAACACAGCACTTTTGATCAACACTTCATTCCATGTAATATTTCAAAATATTTGTGAAAATGAAATGAAAAAAATCATTAAAGGATACGTGGAAATCGCTTAGTTTTTCCTTTACACTGTTATCTAATCCCAAATGGAAACTTGTCACCACATTTTCCTTTTGTCTACTAAAAACTTTACTTTCATTTGTCTCGTTTTTCATATTCTTTTAATTTTGTTTCACATTTCACATTGATGCACTTTTTCGTAAAAAAACACCCTCCAATTTAATTTATTAAATAAAAAATATATTAAATGATGCAAAAAAAACTTACTTGTTTCTTTTGGTTTGCTGCAATGAAGAATATCCCAAGTGTAGTTGTCGTTTACCCAACAACGACTCTTTAGCGACTGATATTGAGAATTTCCGTGCACTCGTACAAAATAGATTTTGCAGCAGCTGAGGCGCTGCGTTGGCTCTGGTTCTCACAATATTCATCATCATTGTCGGCTTTGACCCCCCTGCGCCTAATGTTACCACAACCCCCTTTAACATTTTAGATTATAGCGAAAACGTTCCGGCGGCCCGCCTTATTACTGCTGTGTGTAAGTCCAATTGTATCTACTCTCTATGGCAGTACCTACCATAAATTAGTCTACGTTCTCCTTCAATTGTTTTGTGGAGCATTTTTCTATTCTACAAAGTACATAATTTGTTTGCTAACCCGACGCACACTCATTTGCTTCCATAGGAAATATTTGTGGTGTTATTTCCTTGTATTTTCACTCAGAGGGGGGTTTGTTTTTGTTAATGACCTTGTCACAAGGTGACAAGAGGGAAACATAACCGGCAAAACATGATGGAGAAATTTCAATTCCAGAGAAGAGATAACAAAAAGATGAGAGCTGGTGGAGCATATGGAGAAAGTTAGGTGTTGTTGTAAAAATGGCGGTTATCGATGACTCAGTTCTGGTTGTCAGTTATTCGTATAGTTGTTGCTCGTGTGGTTTCATCATATGGTGTTGTGTTTTGTTTGTCCATCTATCATTTCGATTGGCTTGTGAAGGCAATTACTTTAGCTCATTCATGGCATGTTCACATTACAACATTTTGTCAGCTCAAACCTCTTTATGAGGATTTTATAGAGGGAATAAAATTTCAATTCAGGGGATTCTTTAAATCCACAGCTATGAAATATGATTGAAATAAACAATCTTAAAAAGTTTGGTGCAAATAAGGCATAGGAGCGTTTTTATATATTTCCATTAAAGTCCACTTTTGTTATCCCTTACATAAGGAAAATTGAAGGATAAAGTTCACATGAGAACCCTATATCTCATTATTACACCTTTTCATTAAAATATAAGCATTTTTTCCGAGGTATGAAAATAAAATCAGTAATCATTTGTAGATTTAACTGGTAGTCACTGCATTTATTTCATAGTGGCATCTTCATTTTACTTAAAACAAGTAAAAAAGCCATGGTAGAAAAATACAGGTAGATGCATTAACGTTTGGGAACATTGATATGTCAAAAAATTTTAAATGTGTTTTCAAATATAAGCAGATTTTTAAATGTTTTCTTATACGACGTCATTCGAAGGTCAATTTTTACAAATTTAAATAATTTTTCATTCAACATTTTCAATTCCAAAATTGTTTTGACAGTTCATTGTCCCAGCAGCTGTGTTGATGCGTCTACCTATATTCTTCTACCATGTAAAAAAGCCGTAAGTTCGACCGGGCCGATCTTTGAATACCATCCACCATTTGGAACGATTTTTCCAATTTTCAAAAATATAAAATCCCTTAAAAATTCTGTTAAAATCCTAAAAATAACGAATGTAGCCGTTATATTAGGGTCTATACGATAACATTGACCTGCATAGGCAACTTTTGTCATAAACCATTACAATATTCAAATGCGAAACTTGAATAAAAAATTCGATGAATAATGTAGCTAAAATCATTAATATTTCGAATATAGGGAGGTACCGTTATATTGGGGCTATACGAAGACCAGGTCCATACAATTTTCTGTCATAGGCTGTAGTATCCATTACGAACTTCAAAGGCCAAATTTCAAACAGTTTCAAATCATCAAAATACCGAATATCGGAATGTACTGTTTTATGGGGGCTATACGAAGACGTGGACATGTACAGGCAATTTTCTGTCACAAGCTGTAGCAATCATCAAAATACCGAACATCGGAAGGTACTGTTATATGGGTGCTATACGAAGACGTGCACCTGCACAGGCAATTTTCTGTCACAAGCTGTAGTACCCATTACGAACTTAAATATACAAAATTTGAAACATTTCCGGTGAATAATGTCGCTAAAATCACCAAAATACCGAAAAAGGGAGGTATCATTATATGGGGGATATACTAAAACGTGGACCTGCATCACCCATTTTCAATACCAAAAGTCCTGCAGTACCATGGTACATATTTGAGTAAAATTTTATCAACCTACTTCATTTTGTTCGGAAGCTAGAGTGATTTCCACAGACGCATGGACGGACAAACGACATAGAACGGGACGACGGAATGACAAACTTAATATACTCCATACTACGGTGAAGGGTATAAAAATGAAGAAAACTATATAAATCTTCAGTTCAGTTCTTCAAGAAAAAAAAAAAACAATTAAAATTATACATTTCTTACTTCGAATACATTTTGAGATGAACCCCAACTTTTTTACCCAAAATGCAAGGGCATGACATGTGCTTTCAACAAAACATTTTATTTTACTTTTTAGGCCGATTAACTGGCCGCCTAGATAGTGCGATTTAACTCCTTTAGATTTTTGTGGTGTTATGTTAATGCTTATGTTTGTGCGGACGAGCCCGCTTAAATTGACGCATTGTGAAATGCTGGCCGAAATGTTGAAAAGATACCTACCATATATCGCATCCTCGTAATAGGTTATTATTTTTTTAGCCCTAATTTTCGACCAAATCAACTGCAAATTGATATTTTAGGTTCATTGTTTTGAAGATATTTTTTAAGGTAACACCTATAATAAAATCAATTGGGGTCATGTCTACTGAGAACAAAGGGACATTTTGCATGATTTGGTAAAAAGGGAGGGTGTTGCATATTTCTTTTACCAATAGATACAAAAGTGACCCACTAAATTTTATTTCATAGAATTATTTGGTTGTTGACAGAGATTGCATGTTTAAAACTATACGAAATTGACCCATTAAAGTTGTTGACTCAGATTACATGTTTAATACACATGCCGTCTTTTTGCCCCATAAAATTAATGTCCAAAATAGACTTATATATCCCTAATATTTACTTTGGTAAGAGAGATAAGGAGGAAGAGAGCAGCATTTTCGCAATAATAACAACAAACAACATGTAATAAATCAAATCGTATAATATGTACAGGTTTTTGTTGTGCATTACTTTTAAGTAGTATACTTAACGCATCTACAAGAGATAAAAAGATAACTCAACAAACAGTGGGTGGCCAAGAACAAGCATCCAACCAACCAACCCATCAACCAGTTGCTGTCATTGGCCGGCAAGAGAAACACAACGAACAAAGAACCGTCCGAAGATGAGTCTACTTGAACTTTTCGGGTTGTTGGTTATACTTTACTACGTAATTTACATCTTACTATGGATTCTACTTGACTGCAATGTACGGCTGTGGTGGAAAACACATTTTGGTGTTTCGATTTCCACATTGCGTGGCCAGGTGGTGTGGATTACTGGAGCTTCCAGTGGTATTGGTAGAGCCTTGGCTATAAATTTAGCTCGTCATGGTGTGCGATTGGCGTTATCAGCTCGTCGCGTTGAATTGCTAGAGAAAGTGAAAGAGGAATGCTTGACAGAGGCCAAAGGTCTGCTAGCAGCCAAAGATGTGTTGGTGGTGCCAATGGATATGTTGAAATTGGAAAATCACAAAAACTGTTTGAATGAGGTTTTAAATCATTTCGGCAAATTGAATATTTTGGTAAATAATGCTGGACGTTCTCAGCGTGCCAATTGGGAAGACATACAGGTGGAAGTGGATCGTGAATTGTTCGAATTGGATGTTTTCTCTGTGCTACATTTGTCACGATTGGTTGTACGTTACTTTATTGAGCAAGCAGGTGGACATGGTCACTTGGCTTGTACTTCCAGTGTTGCGGGACTGACTGCGGTACCCTTTTCGGCGAGTTATTGTGGTGCCAAACATTCGGTGAATGCATATTTCGGGTGCTTAGCTGTGGAACATCCATCATTAGATGTGACAATGTTCAATCCAGGACCTGTTGCCACGGATTTCTTGCAAGAAGCCTTCACGGGGCAAGTCAATGAAAAAGTCGGTAAAAGTACAAAGGATCAAAAACGTTTGACAGCTGAACGCACCGGTTTTCTCTTTGCCACCGCCTTGGCCAATAAAGTGGAAATGTGTTGGTGTGGCCTATTTCCGGTTAATTTCTTAGCCTACGTATCACGTTATTCGCTGTTGAGTTTAATTGTACGTTATGCCATGTCTGGAAAAACTTTAAACAAAATTAGAGAAGGTAAACTTTAGAATTTACCTGCAGGAACGCATGAGATTTTTGGAGAACAAGAACAAGATAGATAAAGAACAAAAGTGGACTTTTAGAAGATACATACATTTAAGATAAAATATTTTGTATACCAAAAAATATTGTTTTTATATATTGCTATGTAATGAAATTAACCTCAAAATATATACAATAATATACTTTTTGAATTAACAAAAATGTAACGGTTCCTAACTTTTCAGAAAATCGAAAAATTGTTTTGAATTTTATATGGGAGTTGTACTTTTGATATTTGGTTTTGGTAAATGACCTACTCGAAACTATTCCAAAAAATGTCTATAAATTTTGACGGAAACCTTTAACATAGCGATCATAATTAGATATCGTTAACGGGGCTATATCGGGGCATATGAATCGGATTTGGTTTTGGTAAATGACCCACTCCAAACTATTCTAAAAAATGTCTATAAATTTTAACGGAAATCTTTAACATAACGATCATAATTAGATATCGTGGACGGGGCTATATCGGGCCCTATGAATAGGATTTTGCGTACCAATCACCCAAAACATAATAGAGAAAGCAGACACATGAAACTCGAAGTTTATGCTGATATTTTAGCCTAGTGGTCTCCCCAAGCTAAATGAAAACTTAAAATGCCATCCATTTTGGTGTGAAGGGGGTTAAAACTTGGAATAATTCTATTAAATTACAAACATTTTAATAAACTATTAAATATTTAAATAAAATTAGAATTGAAATTCATATATATTTTTACAAAAATCCCAAAAATATTAAAATCCATGTCTGCCGGTTGTAAAATTTAAAAAAAAAGCAATCCATTTTATGGTTCAAATAATTATATGTTCCAAAAATATTATTTGCGTTGTGTTCTTTGCTAAACTCATTTGATATGGCAACTTTAAAATAACCCATAAAGTAAATGTCTGCCGGTTGTAAAATTTAAAAAAAATTAATCCATTTTATGGTTCAAATAATTATATGGTCTAAAATATATGATTTGTGTTTTAAAAGGCCATAAACGCCAGCGATTTCGTTGTGTTCCTTGTTTAACGCACTTGATGTGGCAACTCTAAAATAACCAAAAAAGTAGGTTGGCAACTCCAATCAGTTTTGTTTTGTTTTTGATTCTTGACACAGTCGCTACTCAACCCTTGTTGATGCTAGACTGCGCCTTTTTATTATCGTTTTGTTTTTGCGTTGCAATAACACACATACATACAAACATAATCACAAACTAAGTTTTTGTTTGTTTTTCGAGACATTTTATTTTTCTTGGTTTTTTTTTTTTCAATAAAAAGAAAATAAATCAGAAAAATTTCTAATTTTTTAAAATGGATGCCGACGGGGAACCTCCCCCAACACCTCTCTGGGACCCTAATAAACGCCGGGCACATTTAATGTCAAACCAAAAGAAAATATTTATAAATAATAATGGTGAACCAATCAAAAATACAAATATTTCACAGACTTCTTCAAATGAATCTGATTTGTCAGAAAAAATTGAATACAATTATAATTCTCTACAATCGAATATTCTTTATCCACAAAATCATCCGGGCCCATTCTATGTCATTGTCACGTCGGAAACCCCAATTAGCTCCAGGAGGAAGAATTGCGAATTGCATTTATATGCACTTTTTCAAAAGATTAACATTCCCACCACATATGTGTGTAAAAACATTGGGTACAATACCTTCCGCCTTACCTTCAACAACCTTGCTATGGCAAACTCTTTCGTTCAAAACCAACAGCTAAAAGAAATTAAATTGAAAGCTGAGATTCCAGAGCGTTTTATACAAAAGTTTTACGTTATTAAAAATGTTCCAAAATCCATTGATGGTATTACAATAAAAAATTCTATCGAAGACAACAACGATATTGATGTTATATCTGTATACAGATTTACAAGGAAAAACGAAAACAACAAAATAGAAGAGACTGAAACTGTTAAGGTAGGAATAATATGTAATGGAGTTCCCCATTCGATTTTTATGTGCGGTACTAGGGTCAAACCTGACCTATATGTACCCCCAGTACGCCTTTGTAAAAACTGCGGCCGTCTTGGTCACATTGCTATACGCTGTAGATCAACTAAACGTTGTCTAGACTGTGGTAAATTTATAATATGTCCAAACCAATGCAAGGAACAAAAATGCAATGATTGCCTTACTAATACAAAATGTAAAGAACAATGTGACACTCCAAAATGTATTTTGTGCAACGGGAATGATCACAATGCCACAGAACAAGGAAAATGTTCAAGGTGGAAATCGGAAAAAGAGATCAAATCGCTTATGACACTGTCAAATCTAAGCAGGAAAGAAGTTATAAAGGCATACCCTGAATCCCAAAATTATTATAACATCTTAGCTGATGGAAGCTACGAATCTCATTTTCCAACAATTAACAAATCTTCTAATCAAAATATAAGAAATTTTAATGATGAAATAAACAGAAGAATTACAAAAATAAAATATAGCAAAATAGCAGCTCCTCATACTAAAATCAACCATCCAGTAGCTAGCCCCATCACTGTTGCGCCTTCAATTCCTGTTTTTGAACATCCATCTTTTGCCAAGGTATCAGATCTGGAAAAAACCATGTCAATGTTTACAAAACAAATGTCCCAGTTACTTACCTCTCTGAACTGCGCGGAAGGTTTAGACATATTGGAAAACTTCAGAAAATCCCTCCTACCAGGTCCTGCAAAAAATACAAAATATAAAATTAATTCAAATGAAAATTCTCAAACTCCAAAATCAAATTCTTATACAAACAATCAAAACTAATCATCTTTTATCATGAACATTTTACAACATAACATTCAAAGCCTAAACAAGAATAAGAATTATCTTGAATTTTATTTGAATAAATTCAACATCGACATCTGCATGTTAAGTGAAATTTTTAATATCGATGAATCGCAAAACAACACATCTATATCCAACTATAATATTGTTTCAAAAAAGAGAAAAGACAACTACGGTGGAGTTGCCATACTCTTTAAAAAGAATATAAAGTTCAGAAAAGTACACTTCCAAACACCATTGGACATACTTATTTGCCAAACTACAAATATTTCAAACAACATAACCATAGTATCTGTGTATTTCCCTCATTCTATTAGAGCCACTGAAATAAAACACGAACTCGATAAACTACTATGTTTTCTGGAATCACGTCCTGACGTACTGATCTGCGGCGATTTTAATGCAAGACATTCCTGCTATGGAGACACCTTTGATTCACATAGAGGCAATATTGTCAAAACCTTTTTCGATCCATCTAATTTTTATTCACTTAATGATGGAAATTTCACTTTTAAAAAACGATCTATTGACATCACTGGTTCTGTTCTTGATCTCTCTTTTACGAATACGGCGTTAACCACTTCGTGGAAAGTACAACCATACACAATTGGAGGAAGCCATCACTACCCTATAATAATTAATATTGGTATCAGCAATATCAGAAGCAAACGGTTCTTAGCTAAGAAAAAGCTATTAAAATCATTAAATAGTGCAAATATTGTTCCATGCTTTGAGAAAATTAATGAAACTTTCAAAAATGAAATTAAAAAATCCACTTATCTCTTAAAAGATAACCAATGCCCAAAAGTTTGGTGGGACTCTGTGGTAGATAAAACCCACAGACTTCAGCTAGCAGCTCAAAAAACATATAACATGTGCAATAATAACATCAATGCTTTAAAACTTATTGAGGCTAACAAAGCCTTTAACAACGCTGTAAAATTTGCCAAAAGAAAAGCTTTCAAAACAAAACTTCATGATCTAAACAACGAACCAAATTCCAAGGCACTTTTTAAATTTGTTCGGGGATGTAAAAATTCTTCGATGCCAATATATAAAACTCAATGGTCGTCTGAAAACGATAAACAATTTTTAATTCATCTTAGGGATCAAGTCCCTAATAATACCCCAATACAACACATGCATTTAAAGCCACAATCGTCTTCAAGTTTTTCATATGAAGAATTTGAAAATGTGCTGCAGAAAAAGAAGAAACCATCAGCAGCTGGTGCAGATGGTGTTACTTACGAAATGGTCAACCATTTGTCACACATGGCCAAGCAGAACTTACTAAGAGCTATGAATAATACTTGGAAAGATGGCAATTTCATCACAGAATGGAGAAAAATTAAGATTGTTCCCATCCCGAAGATCGGCAAAGATTTGGACATATTTACTAATTACAGACCAATCGCGTTGATATCTGTTTTTGCGAAAATTATAAACTTAATGGTAAAGGAAAGGCTTCAGACCTACCTTGATCAAAATAATATCCTCCCCCAAAACACATATGCTTATAGGAAAAATCTATCTGCATCTATGTGCATAAATGATTTGCTACATACAATAAACTACCATAAAGAGAAAGGTGATAAAGTCATAATTGTATCTTTGGATGTGGAAAAAGCATACGATTGTGTTAACATTGAACTACTCGTCAAAATTTTAATTGAGCTCTCTTGTCCCAGCGATATAACTACGTGGATTGCAAATTTTTTAAAGAAACGGATTTTAATGATGGGCAACGAAAGTTTAGAGATCTATAATGGCCTTCCACAAGGAAGCTGTCTAAGTCCTACTCTGTTTAACATTTATACTCTCGGCTTACATGGTATAAATAACCAATCCATCAAAACTTTTCAGTTTGCGGACGATTTCATTATACTATCAGCAGAAAAAGATTTTGACGCTGCTAACAATATTCTTCAGAACAAGATGAATGAATTTATTAGGATATTAAAATCCCTTAACCTCTCTGCAAACACTGAAAAAACTGTAGTTATGTATGTAGCAAAAGGTGCCAGAAAAATACCACAAATCAGAATTGAAGGAATTCCAATAAACTCTGTGGACAAAATAAAATTTCTGGGAAGACACATAAAAAACAGCTTAACTATAAAAAATCATTATGATGAAGTAATTAAGACTTCCAGCTACACCCTAAATGCCTTGAAAATGGTAAATTCGCTTAAAGATGGAATTCACCCCAAAATATCTGTGAACCTTTCCCGATCGCTTCTTTTTTCAAAACTTGAGTACTCTATTTCTTCAATGGCTCACATGCCCAACTACGTCAATAAAAAACTAACAACGTGTCAAAACCAAATTCTACGGAAGAACTTAGGATTAACACCTTCAACGCCTGTTCACATAATTTACGCCTTAGCAATCGTTTTGCCTCCGGAACTAAGGTCGCAGTATCTAGCTGCGAAAGAGCTTTTAAAATTCAAAATGTTTCACTGGGACACTTATGAAAAATTCACGTCTTACCCAACTAATAAAACAAGTCTTGGATTGGTATACAACAAATTCAAACACATCTTCGACAAAACCAAAATATGTCCGTCTGAAATTCCAAGCGACAAAATTTCATACGCTATGAACATCTTTAATGCTGGAAAAAACTCAGAATCAAAAGAATTCTTTTATAGTATATATCTTGAAAAACTAAACGAATTCAAATCTAGCGGCACTTCCATATGGGCAACTGATGCCTCTATTATCGGAGACTCGACAGGTTGCGGAGTTTGCAACATATCATCAAATCAAAACTTTCTATTCAAAATTAACGCCAAATGTTCATCACTCATGGGCGAACTCAATGCTATTAACAAGGCCGTTGACCTCATTTTAGAAGATGGTATTCAAAGGGCAGTAATCCTGACGGATAGTAAAAATGCCTGTTTGCTCCTAAGAAACAACACATCACACAACTATTTAGTCAACATAATAATCAACAAAATAAACAATTCAACTTTAAGTCACCTTACCTTCCTGTGGGTTCCATCCCACATTGGAATCCCATCTAACGAACGTGCCGACTATTTTGCCAGACAAGCCGTGGAAGCTGGCTGTGTAATTTCGTCCAATTTAGCCGTAAAGGATGCTCGTGCGGAAATATATGAAGCCCTATGGGATGAATGGGTTAGAAAATATAGACTATTGTCGTTATCAAAAGGCACATACTTCTCTAATTTCTTTCCATCTCCACCAAAAAAACACTGGCATGACGAAATGTCTTTAGAACCTGTAGAAATTAAAATTATCAATAGACTCCTAGCGGGTCACTCATACTGCAAAACGTACCTGCATAAAATGAACCTGATAGACACTAATTTGTGTGCTGTTTGTAATGTACCTGAAACGGAAAATCATTTGATATTTGAGTGCAATAAATTTCACCACATAATGCTAGGAACACAATTGGAGCGAACGACGAATTTCGCCCTACGCGGCGACAAAATGAGCCGCGAAAATTCGTCGTATGGAACACAATACCGACGAAATTATAAAACAGCTGATGAAGTTGTTTACTTTTTGCTCATTTGTTGACTACAATGAATTATACAAGAACACATAATTCTTTACGTTCTCTATTATAATTTCACTTATGTCCATCTTCTCTATTATATTCACTGATATCCATCTTCACTCAGGCGCAAGTACACAAATAAATAAACAAATTAATTATGTTTTTTTTTATACGAGTAACAGATAGTAGAGTGACCATAACAAATTTTAAAGTAAAAAGTAACTTTATTTACTAAAACACATAAAATTCGTACAAGTATGGCCACCTTGTACTGATTTGTTCGCCGGTCGCCGGCGTATGAAATAGAAATAAAGCTAATTGAGTTCGCGGCGACCGACGAAATTTTCGCCGGTGCCGTGATTGTGTGCACTTCCATATACACATATGTGTTTTATTTTTGACGACGAAGATACGCCGCGAAAAAATTCGTCGTTCGCTCCAATTGTGTTCCTAGCATAAGATGTAACTTCAATATTTTCAACGATTTTACCAACTTACCTGCTTTATTGAAATACCGAACAAACACCGTCATCAAGGAACTCTGTAATTTCATTACTTCAGCCAAAATTGAATTGTAAACAAAAATGATGTCATATGTCATATTCACCATGGAACTAGTTCAATTATTTAGTTACTTAAGTATTCACTAATATGTAAGCAAAACTAGTCTTGGTATATAGGTACTACGGGTACCTATCCAACAATTACTTTTCAATAAACCAAAAAAAAAAAAAAAAAAAGATTCTTGACACATGGTTGGTGGTTTGAGGAGAATTTAATCATTAATTTAATTTTTGGAGGCAATTAGTTAATAAACACAAGAAAAAACATAAAAATGACTGAAGTTGTTATGCCCGGAGATCGTATTCCAGCTGCCGAAGAAATGGGCAAGACAAAGAAAGGTAAAAAACACAAAAAATAGTTTCAACTCTCCCATTTCTAACAAACAAAACAAATTTTTACTTGTTAGTTATTCTCGGTCCCGGTTTAAGGCGGCAAGATGAACATGTTGTGGCCTGTAAAGTTGGTATATTGCAGCACAAGGAACCCAATACCTTTTGGGTGGATAGCTATCAACGGCGTTATGTTCCGGTACGGGGAGAACATATAATTGGCGTGGTTACCTCGAAAGCGGGTGATATTTTCCGCGTCGATATTGGTTCCTCAGAACAGGCGGCTCTTCCTTATCTGGCCTTTGAACAAGCCACCAAGAAAAATCGTCCCGATGTTAATACCGGTGATTTGGTATATGCCCGCCTTGTTGTGGCCAGCAAAGATTTTGAACCCGAATTGGTATGTGTCAACTCATCGGGCAAAAAAGGCAAACTTGGTGTGCTGTCCGATGGTTTTGTTTTCAATTGCAGTCTCAATTTGGCCCGTATGATTTTGAGAGAAAATTGCCCACTTTTGGCTGCCCTTACCAAAGAAATACCATTTGAAATTGCTGTGGGGTTGAATGGTCGCATTTGGATCAAAGCGAAATCGGTGAAGGAGACAATTGCTGTGGGAAATGCCATCCTGGCAGCCGAACATGCATCCAACGAACAAATATCGAAAATTTGTGAAAATATTGGAAATATACTATTTATATGAGCAGACAACAAGAGAAGGCGAGAATGTTTTTAATTTATTTGGACTTTTTTGTAATAACACTTTATAACTCTCTCTATATCTTATTTCAACCTCTCCTCTCTAAGAGCAAAAAAAAAAAAAATGTTTCGTGAAAGTGGTTTAAATCTTTCAAGCCACCTCTCTTTTCAGCTTAGAGAGAGCAATGTAATTACAGCTTAATATAACGTGGACTTTCACATACCAACATATTAATGTACAAACATTTTTTCTTTGCTTTTCTTTTAACCCTTTGTGGTAACTACTGAAATACCCAAATTTTTGGTCGTTGTATTCTGGACTGTTGAGAAGATGATGAAAAAAAATTAAATTTGATGGAACTTTTTTTCGATATTTATCTTTAAGAAATAACCTGTCGGTCCGTTGATCTAAAAAATTAAAAAAAAATTAACAGCTGTCGGACATGTGGCTTAAAAATGACAGCAGTCTGAAGTTGGTTGCAGTTTTTTCATTTTACCCTGTAAATAATCCACCTTCATCCTTAAGGAAAACCTAATGAAAATCCATTGAAAATAAATTCACTCTGGTTCTTTAAGAAAATATTTTTTATAAAATTCATGAGGGTCCTTCTTGAAATTGCAATTCAAAAAATCCTTGGACCTTGGAGAACATTTGTATACTAAAATTTATGTTGGTGGAAGGGACTATCCTTTAAGAACATTTCGTTCGAAAAATTCATCCTTGTCCTTTGAGATCCAGTATCAACATATTGATATATTGCAAAACTGATTATTAAGAAAACCCCACCTGGTCCTTAATGGGTTAAGCAGAAAATTGTAAAACGAGTTTTATTTAATGCCAATAACTACCTGCATTCCAGCTACAGAGAGTTAACATTACACCACCAACTAAGACGGCACAAGCGAGACATGATAATCGCTGAAATTATTCTATTAGCCATTATCGTTTTTTATTTAATTTACATCCTGCTATGGCTTCTCCTCGACTGTAATGTACGACTCTGGTGGAACACCTACTTCGGTTCATCTATAGCCAAACTTAAGGGCCAAGTGGTGTGGATAACAGGAGCATCAAGTGGCATTGGTCGTTCCCTAGCCGTTCAGTTGGCAAAACATGGTGTAAAATTGGTTTTATCTGCTCGACGTGAAGAGTTGTTGGAAGCTGTTAAAGAAGAATGTCTACAGGTGTCAAAAGATGAGATAAAAGAAAACGACATACTCGTCTTACCAATGGATATACTTAAGGTGGAAAAACAGAAAGAACATTTTGACAAAGTTTTACAACATTTTGGAAAACTGGATGTCCTCGTGAACAATGCTGGACGTTCACAACGTGCCCATTGGGAAGATATTGCAATTGAAGTGGATCGTGATCTCTTCGAATTGGATGTCTTTGCAACAATACATTTGTCACGTTTGGTGGTGCGTTATTTTTTGGACAAAACAAATGGCCAGGGACACATAGCCTGTACATCCAGTGTGGCCGGTATTGCTATTGTACCATTCTCTGCAAGTTATTGTGCTGCCAAACATGCGCTGAATGCCTTTTTTCGCTCCTTGGCTCTTGAACATCAATCACTCGGAGTGACAATTTTCAATCCAGGTCCAGTTAGCACGGATTTTTTAAAAGAAGCCTTTACTGCATTACCGGAGGAGAAATTTGGTCGTGAAATTAACGAAAGATATCGTATGACTGCCGAACGTTGTGGATATCTTTATGCCACGGCATTGGCCAATAAACTACAGATGTCCTGGTGTGGTCGCTTTCCTGTCAATCTAATGTGCTACGTTACAAGATATGCTATGTTGACGAAGTTAATGAATTGCTTTATAACACCACAACGAATGCAAAAGGTAAGAGATGGCGAAGCATAGTTGAAGTATTAAAATAAGGAAAATATAGAATAAAGAGATTTACGTTTGTAAAAAAAAACAGATGTTCTCATTTAAAATGAATCAAAAATGGATCCAACTCAACATAACTGATCGGATCCATTACTGCAACGAACGAAAACCGATTTTCTCTTTATAATATTGAAAAATTAGTAGATTCTTTCAGGCTCTGGAAAGGAGCAAATTATAGTAAATCTTGAATTAAGTGAAATAGCTGGTACTTCAAAATTTTTCTAAATTAAAATAATATCGTAATGAAATAAAAATAAAAAGAAGACATTCAAATTTAAAAGTAAAAGTCTAAATCTAAAATAACAACGAAATTTGTTAGTTGAGATCCAATAAGAATTAATCAGAGGATAGATATAATTCATTCCTGGAGAATTCCATGTATGATTCTTAATAATTGCAAGTTTATTGAAAGCTATTTTTTTCTTTCTTTCCCGTATTAATAACCAATTTTAAGTTTCCAATCAACTTGAGTTTTTATTTTTCAAAACCTCTTTAACATGTGCCGGAATTTTGACCCTTTTTCTCTTCGGTTTCATGGGAGTTTTACTTGTTTCCGCAAATTTATGTTCCTTGGCCGGTTGCTGGTGCTGTGCTTTTGTTTGTGACTTTTGCATTTGTTTTTCTTTTTTACTCTTTTTACATGACAGAGGGTTGGGATTTTTCGGTCCTTTATGTTTACGCGGTGCCTTGGCATCTGTATTGTTGGCAATCAGGCCTTCCTTCTTTTTCAAAAATTCAATTTTCTTCTCAGCTTCGGCGGGCAAAAGATTTCTGGCTTTTTTGTCGACCCATTTTTTGGAGGCATCCGATGGTGCCTCTAGGACAGGGGCAGCTTTGTGCAGATAGAGTAAACAACGGCCGGGAACTTTACGTAGACTGGCCTGGAGGTTACGATCCTGGGAGGCAACGATGTAACGGGAGTCTTTGGTCTGTAAAAAACAAAGTTGGTTTTTTATTCTCTCTCACATTGCATCGAAATTCACTTCCAACTCACCATTTGTTTGATACATTCCGCTGCGGTGACAGCCTTGCCCTCATGCCCGCATTTGTGTACGAAAAATTGCTTAACAATTTGTGTGGCTCCTGTCAATGGGGGCCCCAATGATTCCGCCTCCAAGATAATGCATTGTGTGGTTAACAACTTCACTTGGGATTGGAAGTATTTCTTCAATTGTTCCTCAATGATGACTTTATTCTATAAAGATGTTTTCATTTATAATTTCGAGAAAATTCATTGGAAAACATTCTCCCATACTTACCTTAAGAGCAGCTTGACAAAATGTGGCATCAATTAGCACCTGATAGGGTTCATGGTATTGGAAATGTGTGGTGTAGAACATAAGAGTCTTGTGGGACTTTTTATTGCGTGTTATTTTCATTTTAAAGGGATATATTAATTTATTTTTCTAATAATGAAATGCTGTTGATTTATCTGCAAAACAAAACAAACTAAACGAATCATTCACAATGGCGTGTCACACATGAAAACACGTTCATCGCAAGAAAGAAGAAGCATGTGTTAACCATTCTCAGCTATGGAATTGCCAACCATCTGAGTTAATTATGCGTTGAAACAAGGAGACAATTTAAAAGTATATTTTGATTTTTGTTATACATTTTTTCATAGATTTAAGAATTTCGCAATTTATGGCAAAATACATATATAGCGGTAGTGCATATGTGCCCATTATTGCCTTGTTATGTAGTGAGAGAAACATTTGTTGGTCTTCCTCTACCGGATGTTGGCTGTGGCATCTCTAATCACAATGGTGGCAATCAGCTGTTGACCGGCGGCAAAATATCCTTGTTATTGTTTTATTTTGTTTGTGTGAAGAGTTCTTTATTTGTGTTGTGATGTAAAAAAGGAGCCACTGAGTGATTTTGCAACGAAAACAACAAAAGGAGTCCACAAATTTCTGAAAAATTGTACATGTGAGTATAAAATATCTGTGCATTTTTATTGTTTTTTTCTTTTTGGAGACACAGACATGGATACCTGCCATTGACTTGCGGCAGGCACCCATGTCTGTGGATTTTAAGATTCTGGGAGTTATATATATCATAATAGTTGTTTTCCAGGAGCTGCGTGAGTAGAAAATATCGCAAGTTCGATGCGTCGGTTCTGCTAGCAGAGATTTAGAGATTTTGAAGTGTTCAGACCCATTTTTGGATCACATGGGAATACATTTGGCATTTTGGGTTCTAGAGGGTCAGAAACGTTCTTATTAAAATGGTTGTATTTTCTTCCAGGGAGGGTGATGTAAAGGTGCATGGAACACACTAGCATCCATTTAACAATTTGATTTGGAAGTGGTTTATGGTTTGATTGTGGTAGTGCAAAAAATGGTCCCAATTACTTTTTATACCCTCCACCATAGTATGGAGGGTACATTAATTTTGTCATTCCGTTTGTAACACCTCGAAATATACATTTTAGACCCCCACAAAGTGTATATATTAATGATCAGCATAAAATTTTTTGTCGATTTAGCTATGTCCGTCGTTTGTCCGTCTATCCGTCTGTGGAAATCATTCCAGCTTCCGAACAAAATGAAGTAGGTTGATAAAATTTTACTCAAACGGGTATTACGACTGCAGGACTTATGGTTTTGAAAATGGGTCATATAGGTCCACGTTTTGGTATAGCTCCCATGTAATGGTACCTCCCGTTTTTCGGCATTTTAGCGAAATTATTCACCGGAATTGTTTCATATTTAGTATTTGGAGTTCGTAAGGGATAGCACAGCCTAAGACAGAAAATTGTTTGTGCAGGTCCACGTCTTCGTATAGCCTCCATAGAACGGTACCTCTCGATATTCGGTATTTTGATGATTTTATCGACATTATTCACCGATTTTTTTCAAGTTTCGTATTTATATATTCAAATGGCTTATGACAAAATTTGCCTATACAGGTCCACGTCGTCGTATAGTTTCTAATATAACGGCAATATTCGGTATTTTTAAGATTTTAACAGAAATTTTAACGGATTTTATTTTTTTAAATTGACATCAGATACTGATACTTTGTAGATCAGTGGTTATTTTCGGTTTTCCATTCATTGGCCGGATAAATGCAAACGCCACCGCATGTGCCATACGTAGCATGACGACACGTGTTGTATTTTTAGGATGTTTTCCAATACTCGTCACCTTTGTCAGGCATATAAATTGTAAAATTATTTCGAATAATAAAAAAAAATATTCTGGCTTGCATTTTATCAATGAATGCATACGTTTCACTTTGGGCGTACGCGACTCTGATCAGGTACACACACTTTTTTGATGCGAACCAACGCCAATCAATAGATACAATCCTCTTAATGGGGCGTTGGAAGAAGATTGACTGCTCGTAATAAAATTCTAATTTATTGCAAATTAATGAATTCGTAATAATCAATTAATGGTTGACGTCAATTGTTAAAGTTTTTTGCGCATGGGAATCTAGGCTAGAACGGAGTGATATAATTAGTTTTTTTTGGGAAGATGGCGAATAAATTGGAATTGTTAATTTTTGGATAAATTTTAATGTCTGAAATTGGGATTAGTTTGGCGAGATAAGATAATTGATTCATTGAATCTCTATAGGGAGCTGTTAACCACAAAGACTTAATTTTAAAAGGGATGTGTTGGATTTAAGTATTGGTTGTTGAACCTTGTTTCAGGATGTAATTCTGATTTTTATTGAACATGTACCCATCATTATTCGAAAGCTGAACTTTTCCCCTCTAATTTGCATCACATTAGAAATAAACTTTTACGTGTGCATACATATATGCAAAGGTCTTTGTCCATAATTAAAAAATTTATTTGTAATTTCCAATATTAATAACTCTGTGAAGGTCAACCATTTTACAATCGCCATAATTAAATAAATGCATTCTACCATAAAAAATAAACCAGTTGTAAAAATTAAATTAAAATGACACAAAAATTTATTTTTATAAAAAATATAATTAATTGGATTTTTAAACTCCTTTGCGTGCGAACACGTGCAGTTGATTTAAGTTCTTGCACTTTTAGGAATTTCCGAGCTCATTTTTCAATATTTGCCGATTTGAATATTGCGATATGTTCAGATCACAGCCATTTTACGGCCAATGCGATGCGGGTTTCGATCAAGTTGCTCCTTTACTTTTCGAACCATTTCTGCTGATGTTGATGTTTTCTTCCGTTACCTTCCTTGACGTCGGGCTGGTATGAGACACAAAAGATTTATTGCAGTTTTTCATCTCACCCTGTAGACTGAGAACATAAATAATCGTAGATTTTTTTTAATATTTTCAGGAACTATTTGGGACCTACAATAGTGGATTTTTATAAGAAGCCATTAAGTCTATAACCGTGGTAACTATAACTTCCTTGTAACCATTCCATACTGTTTAAAGATTTTTCTTTTTTCAAATTAGATCCTCAGGGGAGTCTACCACAAAGACAAGGTTGCCTTCAATTGGTTATTGGATTTCCAATATATTGTAATATTCACAATTCCATCCAAGGTCATATTTCAACAGATTTTGGTAGGGGAGGGACTCAGGGGATATTTGGATCCTAAAATAATGGAAAAATATTTTATAAGGACCCATTAAATCTTTAATCCTGGTAACTATAACTTCATTGTAACTATGTTTTACGATTTAATTAATCTCTCTATTTTCCCAAATTAGTTCCATAGTGGATGTCCACAAAAATTCGGCCACGCCAACCAAACCTAATGCCTGAAAAGTGAGTAATACTCTTGTTTTCAAATATAAATATTTATTTTAATAACAAAGTGCAGTGCCAAATGCAATTAACATTGACACAATGTAATAATGAATATATTATTTGAAAAAATGTTTAAAAATACTTACTGCAACTTTATACATGTTTATGCCGAATTTAATTAACAGGGTTATTTCACTCCTTATTTTACATTACGCGTCCGTTTTATTATGATATCTGAAATTTAGATTAATTTTGATATGGAATTGTTGTGGCAGTACAATGCACTAAAATTTGTTTTAGTTTTTTTTTTCCAAAAAATGAAATCGGAATAATTTTTAACATTTTTTTTATGAATAATGTATGCCTTCATTGAAGTCGTACTGAAGGATTAATATATTACGTATGTATCATTTACGTAATTTGGCAGAATGCGATTTCTGTTACATCTGCGAGGTCAACATAAACTGCAGAAATGAATGTTAGTAGGTAAGAGTCTATATGGCATCTGGTTGTTTAAAGGATGTACTCTATCCACGCTTGAGTATTAACAGCCTGATATTTACGATTACTTCATGTTGACTATTATGTGCAATATCTAAATGATTTTAGGCCCAACTTATATTCGTTTTTATACCCTCAGCCATATAGCTAGAGAAGGTTCATATCATTTGATACAGCCAAAACGTGCCTCATCGAATTAACATTTGGACATTTGGAGTCGATCTAGCGATGTCCGTCCGTCTGTCTGTCGAAAGGAGTATCCGATTTGATCCAAACTTGGAACATTGTATTATTATTGTCAAACTTACATTGAGTTCGGTGATCGGTCCACTCGTTCTGGCATCTTCCCCACAAATTGTCAACATTTTCAAAGAAAATAATTTGTTGCACGATATGATAATCCGATTCTTCGCGAATCCTAATATGTGCATCAGTGCTGGTACAGGTGAGAAAATGGACAATATCGACCCGCTCCATCAAGTACCTCCCCCACAAAGGGTCTACATTTTGAATATTCAGGAATTTTTGGTTCCATTTAGTATATATATAGTATATAAAAATACATTTTATACCTCACAAAGTATATTTATTCTTGATCAGCATAAAATTCTATATCGATTTAGCGATGTCCGTCCGTCTACCCGTCTTTCCGTCTGTGGAAATCACTGTAGCTTCCGAACGAATTGAAGTAGATTGATAGAATTTTACTCAAATGTATATTATGTCTGCAGGACTTTTGGTATTGAAAATGGGCCATGTAGGTCCACGTTTTGGTATAGCCCCCATATAACGGTACCTCCCGATATTCGATATTTTGATGATTTTTGCGACAATATTCATCGGAGTTGGTATTTGAATTTCGAAATGGATGCTACAGCCTAAGACGGAAAATTGTCTGTGCAGGTCCACGTCTTCGAATAGCCCCCATATGACGGTACCTCCGGATATTCGGTTCTTTGTTGCTTTTAGAGACATTATCCACCGGAATTCTTTCAAATTTGGTATTTGAAGTTTGAAATGAATACTACAGTCTATGACAGGAAATTGTCCGTGCAGGTCCACGTCTTCGTATAGCCCCCATATAACGATACCTCCTGATATTCGGCATTTTGATGATTTTAGCGACATTATTCACCGGAATTGTTTCAAATTTGGTATTTCATGTTCGTAATGGATACTACAGCCTATGGTAGAAGATTGCCTGTGCAGGTCCACGTCTTCGTATACCCTCCATATAACGGTACCTCTCGATATTCGGTTCTTT